GAACCCTGCACCTTCGGCTCGACGCGACTACACCTAACCACTACACCACAGAGGCTGATAACGTAATTTTGAGGAAAAGTCTTTCATTTTATTCCTTTTCCATGAAACTTCCGCCGGCACGATGATCGCCAGCCGCATTAGCCGAGCTATTAACAGTGAAAAAACAATGTACACGCATATTCCATGGCAATGAATGAATGAAAGAACATAATTATGCTTTTCAAAACGCCGATACACGTCCTCGTCTGCAAAGTAGGACACAAAACATATGTTTTGTTATCTCGATTTCCCCTGTTATTTTGAAGCGAATGGTCAAAATCACATCCAATTTCGGCTCATACAGTTTCTTAAGAATAGCACGGCATGAAATTTTCTCCCTTTCACATCACCTTCCAGCAAACTGGAATTTGTATATCCCCCGTGTTGCGGAGTCGAAGAGCAAATGCTCATCTTCTCGTCAGGTTTAACACCTGGACGAGTCAAAGGCTCTTGAATTGAAATCCAATCCCCAAGTTAACCATTGTACTCATCTGAAAGACTCCCGCGTGTCTTAAAATTTGGTAAGACCTCTAACCGTGCTGTAGAAAATTTGCCACAAAGAAAACTCTAAGTCTGAGCAGCGAACGATGCACTCTCTCACCCACCGAACTTCCCCGTGTTTTTATTTGAGTTGTTCGTGGCGCAATGCACTCTGGTTAAATGCAATGCATTGTGGTAAAAAGTGTGATTGAATGCAATGCATTATGGTAAAAAGTGATGAATTCGAGAATTCGTCGCCCCTTATATATTTCCTTTAAATCCTGATTATGTTGCTGCTCGCTCCCTTCGGGCGCTCCGCCGCAACTAAACAGTCTCTGCCAATAATAACAAACTCTCACTTGAACTTCAGATATCTTACGGCTTCCGCAAACTTGTAAACACAGAACTTGAAAATCGACCTTCGTCACACTTGACTAAACACAGCAGTCCAGCTCGTGGGAAAAAACTTAGTTCGTCGAAAGAACTCGCTTGGAACTTGTATACCGTTTGACATAAGGTTCTAGAAAATACTAAACAGGCGAATAGTAGTAGCTTTTCGACATATTTTATGATTTCAGTAACTGGTGCAAATCTGCTGACTCATACTGAAATGTAAACATGCCGTAATTAATTATTCATGAATAATTCAAAAACGCAGAGAACGTTCGAGAAAGTCACGCAACGCATGAAAGCAATTTTACTACGTAACCCTCAACAAATACAAAATGTCTTTGTGCAGCATTTTGTAACTTTAAATTCATCATAAAACAGTTCGAAAAGAGGGCTCACTCGTGAAATGTTTTTCAATACTCGAAAAAAACTAATTTTGGACTTGCCCTTAGTAAAAGCCTCACACTCTTACAGTTACTTCTGTACAGGTTTAAGTGTAAACCTTTTCTTCTTTTTCCATAACAATGAATTTTAGACGACAATGATGTAATTTTCAGAATTCCCTTCCATACAAAAAGTCTTACTTGCCGCGTTTTCTTTAACAAAGATTTTAATTTCTTCATCGATAGTCTGCTAGGTGCACGGCCACGACCGCGTCGAGAAAAATGACTAACCTTATTTAAACCAACTGGATTGTAAGTTCTGTTATAAATGAATTTGCTACGACGAGATCTCAATTCAACTTCTTTTATTTCCTCCACAAAACAATTTTCCTTCAGTACAATTGACTCATTTCCTTTTCCTGTCGTCACCTCACTAACATCAAAACTTGCTGATAATGCAAAATTCCGATGCCGAGCATCGTACATGTACCGCGTCACAATATACATGAAAAAAACAAGGCATAATACAAAAGCAATTACAATAACAGTTACTCTCCTAAACAAAATTGAAAGAATAAGAAGAATTGTTACCGTTATCACAGTAGTTCCCGAAGAAGCCTGAGTCCCTTTTGGTTTCAATTGTTGACAATCTTCTCTTCCTCCACAGGAAGAGATTTTTATCACAGGCAACTCCTTGTGTTCCGCATTGCAAAATTCAAAATCACTATTGTCACACTCATTATCAGCTACACAAATCTTGCGACTCTCAAACTTGATACACATTCTTCTGTTCAAACTCTTATCGATTTTACATGTATACTCCTTACATTCCGATTTGTTATTCCGTCTATGAGGTCCATGGTCTTTGAAGGTCTTGACAATTTCCTTTGTTTTTCCTTGAGTTCGCGGACCAGCCCATTATGAAAACACTCAGTGTTATTTTAGTGTGGGCCCACCGCGAACAGTCTGTGCATTTGTAACTTTAACCCTCGATAACATACTTCAACAATACGTTCCTTGAAACACCGTCGCCAAATTTTATCCAAACTGCTTCTCACTGCTGCTTTGAAACATTTCGGATCAAATGATATCATCCTTGAAGAGCGTAGTTTCACATTTCAACCTGTCAGTTTTGGCCAATGAAACGTTGTCGGTTAGTCTCAGACATGAAATTGACAACGTTGTTGGTGCCATACGATCATGTTTTG